GAGAGGGGGGAAGGGAGGCAGGTTGCAGAGGGAATGCAAACAACCTGAGAATGCGCTTATTATTAGTTATTACGTACTGAGAGCAAGCGCACACAGGATTCCAGACAACAACTAACAAACGCATTCATTCGCAGAGTCTCGCAGAGACATTGCACCACCCACCATGTGCATGTATGTCATTTCCACAAAGACAAACACAGAGAGAAGTAAACCAGAACCTTTTTAAGGAGCTCACCAGAGAGGTAAAATCTAAGAATTCTCTGGAAGATGGAGCACCATAGCTCTTAAATGACCTTCCCTTGCCTCTCAGGAGGAGCACACAGGCATGCGGAAGTTGCTTTTGCTGCTCAACCACAGAGTCCGGAGAGGGAGGGGCGGGGGGAAATGGCACCAATTTGCACTTACGAAATGGGAACTTCTATTTACCGAAGAAAGACCAACTGCAATGCCAACAAGACCTCACATGGCAGATGTATCACAAGCAGACATTTGTGCTCGGATGTCATCATCCCTCCAACCAAGTAAGCAAGCGAGGGCAGATTGACTTACTGGATGGAAGCTTATCGAATTCACTGCATATATGTCGTTCTGGTCTCTGTGGCACTTGAACGTAAAGTTCTTCGATGCCTGTGAGTCATCGAGGTGCTGCACGGCCACCCTACCTTCGATAGAACCGACCTGGCAATGTACACAAAAAGGGCACAGGAAGCAAGTAAAAGCAAAAAAGACAGTCAAGGTCACTTTTATTTTGCTTATGCTTTCTTTTTCCATGTGGTGGAATGAGTCCATCTGTGGAACCACCCGTGATGTGAGGACCTTAAACCAGAACTTGTGGCCATATAACCGACAATTGTGCTTTTATGCTGAGCCTAAAGAGTTTCAGCTCCCAGATGAAAAATCGAGCCAACATGGTGAATCCTATGTTGCCAAATGTAAATGTTTCCGCTCCAAACAAAAAAATTGACCAGGCGTTTCCAGAGACACCCCAGTTTCGAGTACCAGGACCCTTCCACCAGAACTTGCGGTCATTGTTTATGTGGACGCAAACACGTTCTTGTGGTGGATGCAGCAAGCTGCACCATCTTCTATTTTTGTCGGTGCCTGCAATGTGTTTTGTTTTTCCCGTTCTTCAGCCAACGAGCATGGTTTCTTATCCAAGACAATGGTTTAATGCACCACCTCACCTTTGTTTTTCTGACAGCGATGGTGTAATCTCTAATGCCTTTTCTGGTCATTTCTGACTCACGGCTACCTCATGGGGTTAGCTGATTTCTTCAGAATCTGCTTTCTTTTCTGGCCACTGCCTGTTATTCCTTGCAAACTCTTCCTTGTTATCAACCTGTGCACATCGAGCGTGATTTATGGGTGCATTTTCGTTCTCTCCATTATCATGTGAAGACTGTATTGCCGTGCAGTCCTTCTCTGATAGGTCATGTGTCTCATGCCATCTTGAATTGCAATCAATCATAATCCCGCATCATGTAATACAATCACATAGATCGGCAAGCAGGAAGAAGAAAGCTGGACATCGGGTCCCTTTCAGCAAGCATAGGATCATAGCTGCTGCCAATGATACGGGTGATTCCAGAGGCAACGACCCTGGTGCGTGTTTTCTTTTTCCTTTTCATTCTCGTTTTTTTCTCTGCAGGCATGACCCCAATGCTCTAACGGAACAGTGATGATAAGGGATGACGAATGATGGAATGATGATTATGGGATGGGGCGGAGGAGGATGAATGTGGAATGAGTTCAAATGACAATGAAGTTTACGCAAAATATCAACCAGTGAAGACCAACTCAAAAGTGCACCCCAGCAATCAGCGGAATGCGTTCAGCACTTACCAAGTACCCTTGCTTGTCTGGAAATGTGGCGAGGCAACGCGTCTGATACTTCAGAGGAGACTGAATCCTCTTGTACTCCGTCTAATATACATTTGCACCGTCGCCACAAGATCAATCAGGAACGAAAGACAGACAGATAAACACACACACACACACACACACACACAGGGAAGGAGTTTAAAGGCGAAAAGAAAGAAGCCACAAGACCATCAGAACTAGGTAGAACAGTCGTACTGTTGTACAG